AGGCCCGCGCGCCCCGTGCGCCGCGCGGGCAGGGGCGACGCCTTGCGCAGGATGTGCCGCAAAACTCGCGGGCGCTCTGTCCTGGGCGGCATCCTGGCAATTCCGCAGGCTCGGCCGCGCCATGCTGCGGCCCTTGTTCGCTCATGCCCATGGGGGGCGCCCGACCCTGCCGCCCCCCGCACTGCGGAGCTTGGCGTGGTGGTTGGATGTCCTGGAGCGAGGCGTGACCGAAACAAGGGAATGGGCGCCGGCGGATGCCCGTCCGCCGGTTCTCGTATTCGGTGATGCCCGGGGCGAACCCCCAAGAGCGGCAGCCGTCATCTGGTTCGACGGGCGTTGGGAATATACGGACCAGAGGCCGCCGGCCTGGCTCACGAGGCCCCGTCGCGCGCTGGCGCCCGCCCGGCGCAGTCTCGCCCGCGCGCAGGCAGTTCCAGGATCGGAGCGACAACCAGATCGCAGGACTGGAGATGCTCGCCTCAGCCCTGGCCATCTCCACTTGGGCTGACGAGCTTCGGGGCCGCAGGGGTTCGCCTCTTCAGCGACAACACGGTCGCTGAATGGTCGTTTCGTAAGGGGTCGGCGAAGTGCAGCGATCACGGGGCCATCGTCCACCACTTCTGGTCGGTGATCGGGCAGCTCGGGATCGACCTTCGGATCGACCGCGCCCCGTCCGGCGAGCGCGCACTTCGGGCCCCGGCTGGTCGCGCCCTTCCCCCTTGCCCTGCGCGCCGCATCAGACGATAACATTTCCGACCTGCCGAGCCGGGAGGAATGCGATCTCATGTGCCACATCGGTGCCACCTGGAGGCGCCCGTGGCTGCGGACGGAGTTTTGGAATCTCCAGCTGCCAAGCCAGCTCGCGGCCTGCCCCGCTTGAGCTCGCGCGCCGCTCGCTTTTCCCCGCTCCCGCTCTCCCACCCACCCACCCCTTGCGTCCGCGCTCGCGCAGCGCCATGCGGCAGGTCTGCCCCCGCCCCGAGGGCATCCTCGACGCACCCATGCCGCGCGATCGCGCAAACCCGCGGCGGTGCTGTTACGTTCGCCTGATTCAGCGAGCGCACACCGCGAGTCACCTCGCGAAGGTCGCTGCACATTCCCTTTTCAGGAGCGAGATGAGGCAGCGCGACGCGGACGCGGCGGGCTCGTGGCTGCGGGGCCGCGGGGTCCGCTCGTGGTATCAGCTCGGGCAGCTTCCCGCGGACTCGGTGCCGTCCTTGGGAATGTCAACGAACGCGCGCGCGACGATCCTCCGGGCAATCCAGCTGGCCATCGAGTGCCGTGCCGGAGCCCAGCAGCTCCGCCAGTGATTCCGACACTGTCGACTGTCGCCCGACGACGATGGGCGCGCCGGGCGCGTGCGTCGATGACGACCCGATCGAAACGACGTCTCCCTAGGCGCGCCCGCGCCGGCCAGCGCCGGTCGCTCCCGCTCGGGTCCGAGCAAGGCACGCTTCCGCAAAAAGGGAGCGAACGCCGCCTGGCACAGTGCGTCAGAAGCCAGGCTGGCGCGCTCCCACCGCGTCGGGGCTCTCGAGAGGCGCGCAGGGCGCGAGGCGACCTCTCCCTCCTTCGGGGCTCCAGAGAGGCGCGCTGGGCGCGAGGCAACCTCTCTCTCCTCTCTCCCATCGGCGCGCCAGCATGAAGCTCGCCGACCAGGTTGCCGCGGCGGCCCCGTGGGCGTCACCCACGGTCGTTGACGAAATCGCCAGGTTTCTGGTTTCCTGCGATGTCTTCGCAATTTCCTCCGTGCGGGCGGTAGGCGCCCCCGAGACATGGAATGGCCACGGGGCGCTCTCACCCGACGCGCAGCGCGCGATTGCACTGTTCGCGCGGGCGCGGCCGCCGCCGGGCCCGCCGCCCGCCGCGCCGGCGACGAGTGGCGAGGCGCAAGGGGCGCCCGTGCGAGCCGTGCTGTGTGTCTCTTCCTCCGCCGGCTCCTCCTCGTCCTCGTCCTCCTCCTCGTCGTCGTCCTCCTCGTCCCCCTCGCGGGCTGGCGACAGGCGCCCAGCCGGGCCAGCGCTCGCGAGCCCACATCAGCGGGGCGTTCCCTCGCAGCGGCTGCAGCTGGCGCGAGCGACAACCGCGTTGAAGGCGTCGTCACCGGGCTCACGAAAGGGTGGCCCGCGCGCCGCAATTCGTCGCTTGCCCGTGGCACCGTGCGACCCCGACGTCAGGAGGCGCGCCTTGCTCGGGGCCCGGTACGCCGCCGTCCTCAATAGTGCCCCGCGTTCCCTCGGAACGTGGGCGGCCGGCCTGAGGTGCTGGTTGCGCTTCGCCAAATCGCAGCTTGGCCGAGGGAACAGCCCCTTGCCGCCAACTGCGGACGAGCTCTGCCTCTGGGCCCTGTGTTGTTCGAACCCAGGCACCTTTGCCAACTATAAGGCTCAGGTCGACAAGGCACGCGTGCTTCTAGGTCTCGATCGCTCGGCGTTCCGCAGCCCAGCAGTAGCGCGCGCGAAGACCGCGATCAATCACCGTGCGCCTCAGCCCGGCCCGCGACCTCCTCCGGTCACGCGGAAGGCGCTAGTCGCAATGCTGCCGCACGTGCCAGATCCTCGGGTGCGAGCGCTGTTCGTGGTCGCCTTTGCCTAAGCCCTAAGGCTGCCCTCGGAGGCGCTGCTTATCCGCATTGGCGATCCCGCGATGGCGGCCAATTTCCGTTTCAAGCAGGAGGAACTTGACCGCCCAGCGCCGACCATCCTGCTTTTCACCGCGGTCGAGGCGCAAGCACATGCCTAGGCCGAGCGTTGTCAGACGTTCGTGCTGGTGTCGCATATGCACCGCGACCTGCCCGGTGCACGCCCCGCGCACCCTGCTGGGCGATGTAGCGCCGGGTGCCTCCCCCTTCGCCCACTTGGCGAAGCCGACCAAGGCAGGGCGCGTTCTCCCCGTGCCGGCGGTTGCCCGCAACCTGCGCAGGTCGGCGCGCGCGGCGGGGCCTCCCAATGCCGCCCGTATCACCTCTAGGTGCCTGCGGCGCGGCCACGCGGAGACCCTCCGACGAGGGGGGGGGGGCCTTGCTACCATTTTGCGGGCCGGTAACTGGAGGTCCGGCGCCTTCAAGGCCTACCTAGACCAGCCTGCCTTGGAGGGCGCTGCGACGGGCGAGGGCATGGCCCTCTCCGCCAGCGTGGGCCCAGGGGCCGCGGGCCAAGCCCCCGCAAGCGCTGCCTCTCAGCCGCAATGCGCGCTTCGTCGCGCCTTTCGTACCGCGCGCGGCAAGAAATCCGCGACGATTGGCAGTGGGGGGCGCGCGCGCGACGGCTGACGCCAGCCTGCTGTTGCATTGGGTTGTAGCAGCCAGGCGTCGCCGTCGAGGCGCGCGCCGCCACCGCCTTGTGCTCGGCGGGGGCAGCGCCGCCCGACGCGCCGCCGCACCCATCGCAGGATGGTTGCTGCGACCGCGTGGCGGACGCCAGAGAGCGCCGCGCCCGCAGCGCTGTGGCGAGCGAACAGCCGAGGCACGAATGCCGTTCGCGGGCGCAGCAGCGAGGCTGCGCTGCGCGTGCGTCCGCGCGCCACGCAGCGAGCGAATGAGCTTGCGAGGGGTGCGTCGCCGCGAGGCGAACAGCGCGCGAAACGCGAGAAAGATGGAGCCGCGGCTTTCTCGGCTGCGCCGCGGCTAGGCCGCCGCGGAGGGAGCAAACGCGAGCGTTCACCGCGGCGCCGGCCAGCCTTGCCGCGCACAGGTGAAATCATAATTTGACCGCGGCAGGCGGGGCGCCATCTCTGGCCTGGGCGCGTTTCGCCCCGCCCACATCCGCCCGGGTTGTAGCAGCCAGGCGTCGCCGTCGAGGCGCGCGCCGCCGCCGCCTTGTGCTCGGCGGGGGCAGCGCCGCCCGACGCGCCGCCGCACCCATCGCAGGATGGTTGCTGCGACCGCGTGGCGGACGCCGGTGAGCGCCGCGCCCGCAGCGCTGTGGATGATGCTGATGCTGCTGATGATTATGACGATGATGCTGATGATGACGACGACGATGCTGGTGATGAATGATGATGATGATGTTGATGATGATGATGCTGAATAATAATAATATGTTGATGATGTTGACGATGACGATTCCGATACGACTTTTCTGAAGATGTTGACCGTGGTGGTGATGCAATTATGAGGATGGTGGGAAGAAGGATGATGATGCTGATCATGGTGATGATGATGATGCTGATGCTGATGATGATGATGGTGATGGTGATGGTGATGATGATGATGAGGATGGTGATGATGATGGTGATGGTGATGATGATGATGATGATGGTGATAGTGGTGGTGGTGGTGGTGGTTGTGGTGGTGATGATGATGATGATGATGATCATGATGATGATGATGATAATGATGATGAGGAGGAGGAGAAAGACCCTGCGATGGGCCGTCATGGAAAATATGAAACATCGTAAGTAGTTTGAACGGGCGCCGTCGACCCCACCTTTCTGCGGCATCCCTCGAGCCAGACCGAGCCGTGGCGGTCCCTGGGCCCGCAACGGGATGCAGACGCCCAGGTGCGAGCAAGAGCGCGACGCCCGGATCGCCCGGGCAGGGCTAGGACAGGGATAAATCGTTCCAGAGCGAATGGCAGGGCTAAGGGCTAAGGGCTAAGGGGAGGTATGACAGGACAGTGCTAAGGAGAGATTCCTCTCCCCTTCTCCTGTCCCTCTCTTCCCCTCCCGGGTATTCCCCCTAATCGTCAGGCGTCCATGCCCGCGCTCGGGGTTTCACCCCGCCCTCCCCTTGGCTTTTGGCCTGGGCGGCGGGGCCGGACAGGTGGTGTCCAGCCAGCAACTCCCAGTTCATCGGCCGACCGTCGTTCCAGAGCGTTCCAGAGCGCTCTCAGAGCGTTCCGGAACCCTCTGGGAAGGCCGCGGCGCCCGAGAAATCCTGATCTCAGAGAGCCCCGATGTATCACCGTCCGATCTTGCCCTTGTCCTGGCCTCGTCCCAGGGAGGGTCCGCGTCCACCCTGGTGCCCCTCGCTCTGCCCGGCGAGCGGTGGCTCTGCCGAGGTGATGCGCGAGGAGAGCGAGCGCGAGGGCCTGAGCGGAGCGCGGCACGGTGCGCCGGCCCCCACCGCCCTGCTTCAGTGCCAGCGGCCGCTGTGCGGGCAGGCGTAGCTGCAGCGGGGGCGCGCATCTCAAGAGGCCGAGCGCTTCTCGTCAGGGTCGGAGGTTCGGGCGCCTGGGTTCGAGGATCGAGGTTCGCTTTCTGGGCGTTTTCGATCGCCCTGGGACGTCCTCGTGGCCACGGCTGGATCCGCTTCGATATTCTGGTCAGAACGCACCCCAAGAGAGGTCCAGGGGCTGCTAGGGACCGACATAAGCAGAGTCGGCGTGAGGCCAGAACGCGGGAAGGTTGTAACGTTGTGATGCTTAGCCGCGCGTGCCGCTCATCTCTTCGCGCGCCGCGTTACCTACCTTTCCTGCCTTGCGTGTCCTCCACTTCCCCGCGTCCAGTTTCACTTTTTCACTACGTATTCGTCACTCGCCTCCCCCCCCCCCCGATGCCCCCTCCCCCTCCCTCATCATTGTGCTCCTCCTTGTGCGCCTCCTCCCTCCGTTGTTCCTCGCTTCTCCCCTTCCCCCGTGCCCCTCCCTCACCGTGCTCCTCCCGCCCGCCTCTTTCCTCGCTTTCCCCCTCCCTCTCCCCTCCCTCCCTGGTTCCTCGCTCCTCCTGGTTTCCCTCTATATTCCCCTGCCTGCCTTGCTCTTTCCCAGCTCCTCCCCCGCCCTTCACTCTCGCGGAGGAGGCGGAATGAAGAGGAGTATGCGGAGGAGGGGAGGAGGGGACGGGGGAGGAGGCAGGAGTGATCCTTTTCTCCAACGTCAGCGAGTGAACGCGCAGCCCCACCCCCACTGAGAGTGGGTGCAGCCGCCACCAAGCTGCGGCCGCACAGAAGGAGCGCGCGGGGCACCTGTGCAAGCCCTCCAGCACCCTCGAGCGGCCAGAAAACGCACGATGGCATTCCGCCCTCCCGAGCCCACCGCGCGGTGTGAGAAAAACACCCTGCCAGCGAATGACTCACCGCAGGCTCGATTCGAGGCGGCCGCCCGTCGCCCGAGATCGGCGCGGTCGGCCCCAACGCCAGGGTGAAAGCATGAGCGAAGCAGTACACCTTAGGCGATGCTTAAGAAAACTTAAAATTTCGGCCAGGGTCTCGATTATTCTTAATGTTTCAATGTAACTCCTAAGATTTTAATGTAAAATTTGGGTTTTTATTCAAGTTCTGAGACTATGAATTTCTTAACCCATGATTTCTTAAGCATTTCGCAGGGTGCAGCAAGGGAGGGCGGTCCGAGCCCGCGGCGGTGCCTTCCACCCGCGGCCGGAAGCTGGAGCTCGGCGACTGCGGCACGGGAGCGACCGAACCAGCTCTCGTTGCAGCTGGCGTGTCAAGCCTGCACGCGACGCGTGGAGGACCCGCGCGGCGCGCACAGGCAGAACGAATTGGCCAGACGAGCCTGCCCGCCTGTCCTTCGGAGGTGCAGACTGCGGGCCTCGCGGGGCATCCGTATTTGCGGAGCTCGGAGGCGAGTCTTCGAAGGATTTGGCCAGGGCTTCCTCCTTCCTGAGAGGGGGAGGCTCAGCAGGAGGAGGAGGAGGAGGAGGAGGAGGAGGAGGAGGAGGAGGAATGTCAGGCTCGTCTAAGCCCTCGGCCGAAACTATCAACAAACTGCACGGTAACCTCTTCAAGTCTCGGGTGTCTACCCCGAACAGTTCTGCTCCAGCTAAACCTTCGGGCCCGCATGCTGCGGCCTGTGAGAGCACAGCAGGCAGAGGCGGGCAACTCTCTTTCAAGTCGCGGGCCTCGCCCCCCGTAGAGTACAGTCATCAACGGGTGCATACGGCCTTGAGATAGCCATCCGAGCAGTCGAACGCTGCAGTAGGGTGCCCCAGAGACGCAAAGGGCCTCCGAGCTGAGGAGACGCAAAGGGCCTCCGAGCTGAGCCCTCGAAGGCCCGACGGTCCAGGACACCGGGAACGCGGGGGGACGGGCAGACGCGTCCTCGTGAGACAAATGGGGCACCGCCACGCGTCACGAATTCTGACCCAGTTGTGGCAATCACGCTCACGCAGAACTGCTGCAGATTGCGGTTTCACCCAGGGCACATCCGACAAATCGAGTTGCGGCCAGGCGGGAAAAAGCTTCGCGGCTAACTTAGCCACCGTGCGCGCAGTGTCGATCTTCTTCGTCAGAAGCTCCGCTTTCTCCGTGGACGGCCCAGGGTGTTGCTCGCGGCCCAGACTGGCCAGCTTGTGAGCATGGTCATTCCCAGCTCGCTTGACAAATTCTAGACGCTTCACCTCACGGTTGCCGGCTTCCCCACCCATCCTGCGACCGTTAGGTCGCCTCACCGCCTTGTCTGCACACTCCCCTCGCGAGCGCCAGCTCCCTGCCGCGCCACGCGCCAATGGACCTGCGGTGCGGGCTCCTCCCTCTTCGCCCGTGCGGCGCACTATCTCCACCAAGAACTGCGACCGTTAGTCGCGTTCAGCCGTTAGTCGCGTTCAGCTCACTCGCCGCCGCGCCCGCTCCGCGGGCGGCCCCCCCGGTGGCCGCCCTGGCTTCGTGCCCAATGCCGCCTGGCGCGCGCCCAGCTGGGGCTGGCGGCCCGCCCCCGGCCTCCCAGGACGCCCTTGCTCCTGGGCTTCTTGTGGCCCGCCGCCCCCTGGCGCCCCCGCCTTGGGCGGCCGCCCTGGGGACCCTCGGCGCTCCCCCCCCCCCCCCGGCTCCTGCTGCGAGACCGCCGGAGCGCCCGAGGGGTGTCACCGCCGCGTGTGACCCCCGCGGCGCCTGCCCAGCCACCTTGCCGCAAGCCCCGCTCTCGGCGCTGCTTGGGCCTCTCCTTTGCCGTGCAGCGGTCGTGGGCCCCTGCCCCGGGTCCCCGTCTGCCCTCTGCGGCCCCATGCTCCCGGCCCTGCCCCAGCGTGCGAGGCCGCAGGGAAACCCCCTCGGCCCGATGCGCTGGCCTCCGGGCTCCCCCCCGGGGGGTACTCTCCCCGGCGGTTCTCCGTCAGTTCCCGCCTCTCACCCGGCTTGCGGCCGTTAGTCGCTCCTCGTCGCCACCGTCACCTCGTGCCGCGCGTGCTCTCTACAAGACTTGCGACCGTTTGTCGCCTTCACCTCGCTTCCTCCGTGCTCCACCAGACTCCGCGCGCGAGGTCGCAGGGAACCCCCCTCGGCCCAGAGCGCTGATCTGCAGGCCTCCCCCTCCTTGGGGGTCTCTCCTTGGGCGTTCTCCAGCGGTCCGGCCCCCGCCTGCACCGCCTTCCGCCTGCCTCCCCTCCCCGCGCGGGGTCGACGGACACCTGGTCCTCCCCCACCGCGCGGCTCATCCCCGTCAGTCCTCAGGCTGGGCCCTACTGCCACCTGGGCGGCGCGTGCCGCTCGCACCCGCCCTAACGGCACTACCCCTCCCAGCCTTCTGTCTGGGCCATCTCACCACCTTGGCGGCGCGGGCTGCTCGGCCCCACCTGATGGCACCCACGGCCTCCCCCCTGCTCCGTCCTGCCGTCCTCTGGCTGTTCCCTCTCGCCACTTGCGGCGTGGTCTGTTCGCACTCGCCCATGCTGCCAGCCCCACACCCCTCGGTGTCTGGCGGTTCGGATCTATTCCGTTGAGCGCCCGCATGCCCAGTCTTTCCTCAGACTGTGGCCTGCTGTCATACGTTCCGCGTCCCTCGTCCTGCCATGGGCTTGCTGTGCGTCATGGTGGCGGTCTTCCTCGTCAGGGACGTGATTGGCAACCCGAAGTACCACCTGGTGCTGCACGTCGCCTGGAAGGATTTCCTGGCGTGCGCTCTCCTGTGAGCGGCAGTGAGTCTCGCCTCCTGTTAGCCTCCCCCATGGCTTGGTCTTGTCTCTTTTCGCCTTCCTTTTCGCGTGCGCTAATTTAGGCCGTCGCCTCTTTGCTTCGCCCCTTGACGCCGCCCGATCTTTCGCCACGGTCGCGATCCAAAAAAGTAACCCCGCCAGCCCATCCAGAAACGATGCCAAGAGGAGTTGCCTCGATCAGGGAAGGCAGCACGCAGAGGAAGTGTCCCCCGGTGGGGGCCTCTTGGAGCGTCTTGGGGGCCTCTTGGCGGCCCCGGGGGCCTCTTGGAGCGTCTTGGGTGCTTCGGGGAGTTTCTTAGGGCCTCTTGGGGGTCTCTTGGGGGCTTCTTGGAGTCCTTTTGGGCGCCTCTTGGGGCCTGGGCGCCTCTTGGGGCCCTCTTGAAGCGCTCTTGGGAACCTTGGGAGCGTTTTTGGGGCCATCATGGCGGACGTCGATCAAACAAAAGGGGGGCTTTAATTGGCGATGCCCTCCCAAGAGGCCCCAATGGGACCAAGGCGTTAGTAGAGCCCGTGGTTTTGGTTTCTTCGCCGAGGCCGCTTCGGACGCCCTGACACCTCGCGACCGACCCCTTCCAGGTCCAGAGGAAGGGGTAGGGGGAGGGGTCAGGCTTCCCACCCGGTCGCAAGCCATCTTGCTCACTCCTACCCGCCCTCCCACACAAGAACTCGACATCATAACCGCAGCACGCGATGCCCGTCCAGCGCCCAGCAAACACCATACATACCCGCTGACCCTCATGGAGACTATAACCACGCCCGTTGGATATAAGCTTGAACTCGCTAGCGAACGTGCCTTAAAGAGGCCGGCTGGGTAGACGTCACCTCTACCCTGGAGTTTTTTTGGGGGTTAACAAAAACTCCTACCCGCCCTCCCAGCACATGCGTGACACCCGGGAGTCAGCATATCGCGTAAAAACGCCGCAGACGCCACGGGTTCCAGATGCACCAGACCCTGGAGGCCCAAGCGTTCCAGGCGCGCCAGGTGCGGCACTTGCTCCACGTGCGCCCAGTGTTCCAGTCGCGCCAGGTGCGCCAGCCACTGGGAACCAACAAGGGCTGGATGACAAAACACCCTAGACCACCTACGTCCTGAAGGGCTGGTGGGATTCATCTGTGGGCACTGTGTGGTCGAGTTCCTGATGAGGCTTGACATTCACCGCTTCTCTAACGTGCCTGCAGCATGAAACCCGATTGAGCCCGTTTTTGCGAGGGCCAGCGACACC